ACGGGGCGGCCGAGGACAAAAAATACACATGCGTTAATCGCGTTAAAATAATTAGTGGCGTTAATTTTTTTTTGCGTTAACGCGTTATTAACGCGTTAACTTGACAGCCCTAATAATAATACATGATAAAATATGTCTTGATTATATTTTGTAGTGTTCTGAATCTTCAAAGTTAACTGAAGTTATCAAATAAATGTAGCGCAGTATAAAGTACACTGAATGGGAGTGGAGCAGTAATATAAAGTTGCAGGATTAGTCTCAAGTACCTCAACATTGTCCTTAAGTACAGTGCCTAAGTAAATGAGATACTGTCTACCGCTGTTCATTTACCTATTGTGAGTCGCCTCGGATAAAAGCATCACATGGAAATGTAAATTTAGCAAGAAGTGGCCATTATTACATTACATACATTACTACATTGCTGACTCAATAAACTACACACCCGCCAGAACACTGCGATCATCAGATGCAGGTCTATTACCTGTGATTTTATAGTATGTCTGCACTTTATGTGCTCATTTCATCATTCATGTATTTTATATTCTACTAAAACTGAATCAAACTATAAACAAGGTGGCCTGTTGGGATTACTATATATATATATATATATATATATATATATATATATATATATATATATATATATATAATATATCTGCATTATTTTATCCCACTTTATGCTTTGCTCTTGGTGCTTGTTTTACACTGATTTTATGTCTTATTTTTTACTGATGTAAAGCACTTTGAACTGCAATCTCCTGTATGAAAGGTGCTATACAAATAAAGTTATTATTATTATTCAGATGGATGTTTCTGCCCCTCTGTTCATTCTCCCATTATCCTCCTCAATCTGCCTAGAAGTATTTTAATGTTGTAGCTGTTACTATAACCAATACTAATGCTAGGGCTGTAACTGACAGTTATGTAGGCACATTGTTATTGTTTCTTATCGCTGTGTGATTAAAAGAATAAACACAAATAGCAGGATAGGCAATGCAAAACTTTATTTCGTACCTTCATACACACATAACACAACATTAGAATGAGCTTTTATCAACGCCCACATGATGATAACCTGTCAACATGACAGGAAAATCCACATGACATTAATACAGAGCGGGCAGAACCCAAATCTGCATTCAAAGAATGCACTTTACCAAAGCTTGAGGAAAATATCACAACACAACCCCTTTATGAGCCAAACCACCATGAGAGAAAAAGATGGTGCTATATCTTATCCCACTGAAAAGGCACTGCACCGATACCATTACATAGTTCATCCCTGTGATGCTTGGCTCGAGCTGGATTATTGGTGGTGGGTGGCAGGGTGGCTTGCCGTAGGTCAGGGTCTTGTCTCCAGCTTCCTGGGACAGTGCCATGATCGGGTCCTTCCTGGTCAACAACTCCCGCCATGTATGCGCTACAGTTCTCTGTGCGCAGGAAGTTGTGCAGAGCACAGCAAGCCAAAACAATGGCCTCCACTTTGGCAGTGTCTTGAATGTTTATGGTGGTTAGGAAGACCCGAAAACGGTTGGCTAGGACGCCAAAGGCCTTTTCTACCACCCTCCGAGCCCGCGACAGCCTGTAGTTGAAGATGCGTTATAAAATTATAAAATGCAATAACGTGCTTTAACCAGTAGGTGTCCCTTTCTATCAGCTGTGCACTGTTATGGCAAATACAGCCTATCTACCAATTGGATCAAATATAAAAGTCAGCCGAATTAGTGTTGATACTGCAAGGAGACGTATTGTGTGAAAATAAATGTAAGATGTTGTTTAATTGCTTATATATTTATTTATTTAAGATCCACGTTAAAATATAACTAAGGTTGTAGTTGAAGAGTTTGTAAATTAACATGAACCAAAGCTGTTGCCTGTTGCAATATACAGTCTGGTTGCTACAGAGGATTGTGGGTAATGTAATGTCTTCGGCCATCCAAAACTCATAGAAAACTACTTGTTTCTCAGAAAGGGGAAAACGTGACAAAAGCATTGTACACACACTAAAACCTATCAATGTCGTTTAATTAACAAGGATAATCTGGTGTTTTTCAGTTGATGAGTAGTGGAGATATCACTGTCAAATCAATCGACAGTAAGAGGAATACTTACATTGCCTTTAACAGCCTCCGACACAAACGAATGCCGTGCTTCCATGAGCGTCAAATCCCGCCGCAGATGGGAATACATTGCAATCAGTTGAAAGCTATTTGCGTCTGTTTATGAAGCTGGAGGAGCCTAGGAGCGTCCCAACTGCACGCCTCGGGACCCTAACCAAGCGTCGCTCCTGGACGTTTATGGAGTGAGAGTGTGTTGACTATGAAGATTCAGACAAATGATACAAAATATAATAATGAAATATTTTAACATGCATTATTATAGGAAGAAGATAACGCTTTATTGATCCCTTGGTAAATTCTCAAGCAACCAAGCAGTACTTTGGTACTTTGGTTTTGTACTTACACTAGTACATCTACATTACACTGCGGTATTACTACTAAAGCACAATATACAATAATATACAAAGTGCTGCAATTTTAAATATAGCAACATCTTTAGCTTGCATACCTGTTGCCAAAAATCGCAGCGTAACCATCAGACGTGTCCCCACGGAGATACAATCCCGGTAGTTGGTGTTTTCCCTCTGGATGATTGGAGTGATGAGTTCCTCCAACATGTGGAACTGAACAGGAAAAAGCCGAGCAACATTTCTGAAATCTGGCATTTCATTTAACTCCAGACACAGGTTCGGGAAAGCCCCATGAGCTTCTTGCTGTAGTATCCATGATTTCACCCATTTAGTGCGGTTTCTCCTAATTCTTGCTTGCTTGAGAATGTCTTCCACAAGCAACACTCCAATGGCTGATAGCTCCAGTACCGCACGAAACATGTTTTAAATGGACGACAGTGAAAATGGAACGCACACACTATTTGTTGTTGGTTTATATCACGCAGTCTGTTCTTCTTCTCTGTCTTCCGGTTGTTGCCTATTTTGAATGACGAATACACACTACCGCCACCTGCTGGTAAGGCTGAAGTCTTTGCGGTGTGTTCCAGTGCGACACATGGCCAAGACGCAGGAGAACACGGCGACGCAACAGTCGGCGTCGGCGTCGGCGAGTTCTCTGGTGACTGCCTGGTGTGTCAGGGCCTTTAGATGTCCGGCAGTGGCTCAGTCAGTAGGGGCTTGGACTGGGAGCCGTAGGGTCCCTGCTGTGGTGCCCTTCAGCAAGGCACCGGACAACCCCCACTCCCCATTGCTCCCCGGGCGCTGTTCAATAGCTTTCCACTGCTCCATGTACTAGGATGGGTTAAAAGCAGAGACCAAATGTCACTCTGTCTGCTGTATGCATGTATGTAAGGCCCCACGGTTGTTATTTTACAACATTACTTTAAGCTATCCTAAAAAAGTCAGTACATTTTTTTGTTTTTTTAACATTACTTTACATAGCCAAAAGGTCCTTTTGTTCAGCCTCACAATATTAAATATGTTTATAGGTCCTGCCCTCTGGCCATACACTCATACAACTTCCGAATCTTCAAACGAGAAACATCTCTTTGTTTTATTGGATTTGTAAAATGCCTCAAATATATACATATTTTGTTATTGTGGAATACATTCATCAAATTTGATTTTGAGCAGCTTATGTCTTTGTTGCAATATTACATACCTGGGTCACGGGATATACGAAAATGGTTAAAGCAACCATCACTAAACGCCAGCAACACTGCATCTACTGCAGACAATAGCAACAGGTCAGATGGGGACATTACGTTATCCGCCGTCGTGGACACTTAACTTACTCCCGCCCGACTCGCCGCCCCCGCCCCCGGAGCAGCAGTGTGGTAGTCAGAATAGCATGTGCACCTTACACAGGGACATATCCACCAATAAGAAGATCATGAAGTATACGCACCATTAGCGTTGTGTGTAGCCTGACAGGAAGCTGGCAGCAGTGGGTGACGGAGAACGAGAACAAGCAGGCCGGAGAACCCAGCGGTGGGCCTCCCGTTTCGATTCAAGGAACCAAAGAGGAATCCACAAAGACATGGGTCCCAAAGAAACCTCATCCCGTCACAATTTATGTGAACAAATATTTCCAAGGCACACCTTTATAATTATTAGGATAATTAAAAACAGGTTTGAAATCTTGCCTAGGGCAGCAAATTGATCAGAACAGCAGCCATTAAACTATACCGGGCACAATGGAGTGAAACATACCACAGCACTTTTAAACATCCTGCCCTGTTAGACTGAGCCTGTAATGACTAATGTAATGTCCCATTTGGTTATTAAGGTTGGTATAATATAATAATTAACTTACAGGACATTTATATTTGTATATATTTATAACTGCTGTACATTTTGTCAGATTTCACATTACTTAAATACTTTATTCAAATACATTGACAGTATTCTGCAATAATACATTCATTGAATGTCTCTGGATCATTGAATGGTGAATCATAGCTTGAAAGGTTATGAGGTTACTCAAGATCATTCGTGAGTGAAGACAGGTACACAGTAAAATCCGGAGTGTTAATTTAACACTCTGAGATAAGGACCATATGTTCACTGGCTCACTGAGCCAGTGAACATATGGTCCTTATGACCTTATCTCAGAGTGTTGAATTAACAATCCAGATTTCACTGTGTATGTGGATAACAAAATTAAATTCCATTAGGGATATTGTCAACTATCTGGAACAAATTACCAGAAACCTGCAGGTCCGCTTCAACTCTTACTACTTTTAAATCCAGGCTGAAGATTTTTATTTTACATTGAAAGAGCCACCTTTAACATGGGCGACGCTGATTTTCCTGTTTTATTCATGATCCAAAAAAAACAAGAGCATACTTGGCACATATCTGTCCACCTGTATTCTGAAGATGTTGACTGTAAGGAATTACCTGACGAACTGCCAAAATAAATAGCCTCCTCCCTCCCTGTCTGATACATCATAACTCGGCAAGGACCGATAAACTCTTTGACAATTGTTTAGCTGCACACATGCCGAGGCTTCATTTGCTGTAATGCACACTTGAACGGCAAGTATAATTTTTTGGATTCCACTCATCACTAACCAAATGTATTATGTAAGTAAACAAGAATGACTGAACAGATGTATTTATATTTCTGTATTATCCACTACAGGTATCTTTTGATAAAAGAAGAAACAACAAATCAGACAGGTGAGACTCCGTCTATAGTCAATAATAACTATTAACAACGAGATGCAGGGTAAATAACTCTTCTCTTTCTTTTCAGAATGCTTTTTCTTGCTATCTTCGCTGTTATTGCAGCCTCTGCTATTGCTGACTGTAAGTTTCCATGAATGCATTATCCTTTATGAATACAATTTATAAGGATAATTCATGTTCATAATATGTTTGTCTGTCGCAGCTGAGACTCAGAGCTATTCCTACTCCCCTCCTGCGGGTTCAGGGAGTGGCTCTCCGTTCAGTATAATTGGGGAGGGAAGAATCACAGCTGTACGAGTGTGGGAGTCGTCCTACATACGAGGGTAAATGTTATAGATCATTATTTTGGTAGGACTGAAGAGCATTCTTTTTAATTAAAAATAATGTAACGCTGAGTAAAAGACACCATCAGATGTTATAGTTTTGATCCACTGGTTGCAGGTATTTATTGCAATAATATGACCACTAAACATTTGAAGTTCCCTTATGAATTTGTTCCTGTTTAATTTAGTACCTGATACAACCTGATAACTTAAGGTACTTGTACTTTTGTAATTTTAAAATTGAGTATTTTCCCATTTATGTTGCATATATTTTACTGCATCAATAACTAGCAACCTTTGCAGATTTAGTTCAATGTTACAACAAATAAAAACAATTTTACTAAATGTTAGGCAACTCAGTAGAATGTAAAGTAATTCAAATAAGTCACACTTTTGCCAAGTGCCATATTGAAGTAATCATCACATTGATGCATCAATAACTTAAATATGACCAATGTTTATATTATATGATATTTGTATATGATTCTGAAATGGAACATGCTGCATAATGATTATGTTTACCTGTGCTACTTTAAGTATATGTTTTGATGCCGATGCTTTCGTACTTTGAATGCAGGACTTTAAACTGAGCATTGTTACACTTCATTCATCAGCTTCCAGTTCCGCTATGGCTTCACCTGGTCTTCCGTTGCGGGTTCGACATCCGGCCAGCTACAGGAGAGGGAGTTGTCTGACGGTGAAGCCATCATTCAGATTTCTGGGATGTACAGTCACTACGTGCAGTCAGTGGTGTTTGTAACTAGCAAGGGCCGCCATTTTGAAGCAGGCCAGCCCTCAGGCACTTCATTCAACATGTATCCCAGCCACAAGGGTGCCGAGCTGGTCCACATCAGTGGCACTACCCATGGAGGAATCACCTCCATCGCAGCACTCTGGGGTCGAGTTGATACATCTGCTACTCACACTGAGCACTGAGAAGTAGAGCTTGCCTGAGGAGATGCTACCATTTAACCAACAACTTGGCCAAACCTATGTATGAAAATGATGGTTTATTTCAGAATGTAATTCCTCTGTTCTGCGGTGCAACATTTTAACATTACAAATCTGCACATTTGCACTTTTGCTTGCTGAAGTGCTTTTGGAAACATATTTTTTTGTTAAATCTTTGTTCTGATGAATGTAGGGTGGAGAGAACTTGACTATTCCTACTTAAACACTCAAATTATTTCAAAACACATATCTGAGCAACAACTCAAATTCACATTATGTTGCTACTTATGCTAATTAAACATAGCTGACATTGCTCGTAGCTTCTTGATTTCTGTATGAGCCAGCGATGTGAGCCTCCCCTGACATACTCCAATGTAACGGAAAAAAAACTAAATAATAATAATAGTAAAATGTCTCCACTGATCTGTGTTGTAAATGTGATTTCTGTATGATTCCAATCGCTTTTTATTGGAGCTCCGCTACAACATTCAGTACCAGTGTGTGAGGTTGTGGTTACGATGGCGATATCCGGACGCGTACAGTGAGGACTACAAAAAGACAAACGAGGTCACTGAGGATGTCTGTTCAAAACATTGCGAGCTCGAATAAAGCATTTAAACCAGCTATTGTTGCCAGATTTATTACTGAAAATATGGGATTAGTTTTGTGTCATAAAGATAAAGCAACACTTTCTCAGAATCGAGCAAAACTAAGAGTTTAAGAGAAAAAAAAACTGAGTCAAGCAAAATACATTTTATTTCAAAAATAAAACTATAAGTTGCAAACAAATCATTTGTGTAATCATGTAAACTATAAGTCTTTTTTCTTTGTTTTAAAGCCATGACATGGGCCATTTCCACTGATCATAATTACGTTGTTGAGGTATACTAAAATAGATTTATACTGTGCAATTTTCCAAACTCACATTGGTTTCGCATACAGCATCTCTGTCAAGCATGTGTATTCAGCAGTATTCACTTTCTCCACTAAACGACTCGTTGGAGCTCTTGCCCCCCCCTCCCTGTGAGCCTAGTGTGCTCCGATTGGTCAGCTCGGCCACTCTGTTCTGATTAGTCAACCACCAGAGAGGCTCCGCCCGCTTTTTTCGGGGAACATCAGTGTAATAATGGCGTCGGTACAGCTGATATTTTATACTAACTAACCGAACTGAACCTACAACTGTTGTTATAGAAGAGTGTGACGGCCCCAGGGCCTTTGTGCAGGTGTGTTGCAGGGCTTACGGTGGTTGCCATGGCAACGCATCCCTTGCAATAAAACACGATATTGCTATAACTCCTATGAAAATTGTCGAAACACCACCAGACTTCAAATGACAGCTAACAGTCCAGCCGTGAAGATATCTACGGGACAGTTTTGAGATTTCTTCAAATGCCGTTGCCATGGCAACACAATGCTCACCATGAAACACGGTTATCTCATAACTTCAGTGAAAATGCTGCAAACAACCCAAAACTTCACAGGTTTGGTAACGATGCAGCCATCAACATATCTAAGCTTATTGGGTGTCATCAAATACCGTTGCCATGGCGACAGATCATTCGCCATCAAGTTAGTTCAATAGTTTGCAGTTCAAATATTCTGCTGCTTTTCCAAGCCTTTTTACTTTCTTTTCTTCTCTTATCACACATTCAAGCCCACAGTGTTCATGTATCATTTCAATCTAAATTCGTCACTTTCTTCTTACACATTACATTTCAGCATAGCAATTCAGCGTCAGCCTTTCAGCATAAAGCATTCCCACTAGCAATTTCTTCAGGAATTGCATTCTCTAGTTATCATTATGCTGCTGTGTTTATTGTATTTTTTTAATTCTGGCACAGCAATTTCCTTCGGGATAAATAAAGTATTTTCTTATCTTATCTTAACTTCTAATTTGCAGATGAAGTCAAGGCAGGCAGCACTAGCAGTTGAATATATCTACTATAGAGGATTGTCAAAGAGAGGCTATATGATCCGAAAAGTAGAAAAACTAGAAATGTTTTAAAGGTCTGATGCATTTACAAATATCAACTCAACTCAAAGGAACCAAATTTGTGAAAAGAGTCGGTCTGCATATAATTCTCTGTCATGAAGAAGTGATTTGTCGTGATAGAGGGTAAGAGAAATAAAAGAAATGTAATAAAACATTATACTTTTGGGTTACTGTTGAATTTCCTGAATCAGAGACTTCTCTTTGAATTGCCTTGTGTTGAAAGGTGCTATATAAATAAACTTGCCTTCTCCCTTTTGTCAACCACTTCTCTGTCAGGGTTAGTTTAAACACGTATAGGCGCGTTCACACCGCAGTACTTTTCCCACTTTAGTTCCGATATAGTTCCGAAATGTCACGTTCACACCAAAAAGAGCCAGAACTAAAATTAGTTCATGAGAACCTTTTTATCCCCTTTTCCGTCAGTTATCCGTCCCTGCTAGAGAGCAGGTACTTTCGTGGGAGAAAAAGGTTCCTATGTCTGATTGGCTAGGCGGAATGCAAACCACGCCCCGTAAAACTCCCAAAAAGTGTTGTGAAGCCGCCATTTTATTATCCTCGCATTAGCATTATTAGCATTAGCCCAGCGCAGAAACACAGAGAGACTAACTTATGGCAACACAAAAGAAAACATGGGAGCGGTGGAGATGAGGAGGTGTCGGCGTTCTGGCGATTTACTCGGAAGGCTTCAGTAGAAGCTGCTGGGAGTCCCAGCAGCTTCTACTGAAGCCAGTCCCCAACTCCGGGGACTTCCGGCCGGGGACTTCGGGTGGCAGTATACGCCATGAAGTTGTTTGCGGCCTGCCTGTAAACCCAAAGCAGAAGAAGAAGAAGTGACGTCAGCGGCTTCATTTGCCTAATCCTCCCCCAGGGACTTATTCCGGTGTGAAAGCGATCTGTACTTAGTTCATGAGAACTAAAGAGTTCTGATTAACTAAGTTCTGATGAACCTTTGTGGGAAAAGTACTGCGGTGTGAAAGCACCTCTTGCCATTACAAAGTTAACCTGTATTAAAAAATGTAATCAGTGACCTAATGCAATGCCAATAAATACAAGAGAAAATAAATATCAATGAGATGTTTTTTAAGTGTATTATGTAAGGCCACGTATCGATCCGCTGGAGACGCTGTAGTACATATGCCGGGCCTGTAAGTGGCGCTAGATTTATTTTCTGTCTCCATTCATTCTAGTGAGCCGAGAGTGGGAGCTCGGGGGGCGGGGCTTAAGGGGCGCATGCTCTGTGAGCGCACATACCATGGATGTATAATAAGAACTGGATACAGCGTCGGAGGCGGGGTCTCGTTCTTTCCTATGAGAGCTGCTCATTGGCGCATGATGACAAAATGGCCCAACTTTTGAGAGAGCGAAACATCACAGATTACCCATCATGCCTGGCTGTCAGAGCAGAAGAACCCGTATGTGCGCTCACAGAGCATGCGCCCCTTAAGCCCCGCCCCCCGAGCTCCCACTCTCGGCTCAGTAGAATGAATGGAGACAGAAAATAAATCTAGATTCGGCTTTTAGTGCATTTTACAACTTTAAGGACCTAATGATTATAATAAGGGCTATCAAATAGTTCATACTGGGTAGTTTATTTAGTTTAAAAAAAATTATCCGCTGATTTACAGACGTCTCTTTCCCAATGTTAGTCAATGGGGAAAAGTCTGTCTGGGCCCAGTGACGTCACGGACTGATACGGAAATTGTAGTACCACCGTTTGGACACAACGAATATTTTCATCAGAGTCCGGCGCACTTCCTGGGGGCTTGGCACATACGGGTTCTTCTGCTCTGACAGCTAGGCATGATGGGTAATCTGCAACCTGGTCTCACCAGAATGCGTGACACCACCACGACTCCTTAACACCGCAGTGCGTGGTGGAGTCACGAACTTTGCTACATTTACGTGTCTGCACCACGCAAACAACCCCAATGTAAAGTGAATGAGGCTCCTTTGTCGTGGTGCACACACGCATTTCTACAACGTCCCGCAGTGAGCTTTTATTCTATAAAACGTTTTTAAAATCTACTTTATAGCTTGTAGTAACTCACGAGAGGCTTCTTTTATTTTATTTGTATTCATAATAATTTTTATTTTTCGTCAGAATGTATTATGGTGCATTATTTACCAATTTTTGTTCTCAAAAAACAGTGCATTGTGTGTAATACAACTGTGATTTTTATTAAATGAGTTAGTTTTTAAGGAAGGCCAGAGCTTCAGCTGTGTCAAATAGATTGTTCCCTTTAGTTAACGTTATGTAAAAGATAATTATATTCCTATTTGATCATGTCCCCTTTATTGTATTACGGACACAGAGAGCAATGCATCCATTCCCATTCATTTTGCACCCGGAAGTAAGTATTCTCCTTACTGTCGATTGATTTTACAGTGATATCTGCACTACTCATCGACTCAAAAACACCAGATTATCCTTGTTAATTACACAACATTGATTGGTTTAAATTGTGTGCAATGCTTTTGTAATTTTCCCCTTCGATTCGGAGAAACAAATATGTGTTCAGAGTTTAGGATGGCCGAAGACACTACACTACCCAGAATCCTCAGCTATTGTTCCGCTTTGCCTCAAGCTCTGTGATTGGTTGACCTCCAACTGCATTCCATATGGGAAAAAAACGTTTTGTAAAAGATAAAATCATACTTTATTCAGCAGTGCTTGCTTTACTCTTTGAAAGTCATCACATGAATGCATTGTAATGAATGGTTTGGCTGCATTAAACATTACACATCTGTCGTAGTTCTTTATTTATCTACAGAGATCGGGCCTCAGAATAGACCGGAAACTATTCTTTTACCGTTCGGTTTTAATTTCACAATAAAGTTAGTAGTAATAATTTGTTTTGATATTATTGTTTTTTATTAACTACTAGACCGCTGGGTCATGTTAAGACCATCTTTTCTGTGTTGCTGTGGGTTTTTTACATCGCTTTTGTGTTACAAATATCAAAACAATAACAGAATATATCCGTCGTAAACTAAACCAGAAACAGCAGTATATTTTATTTTGTTAACACTGTAAACTTGACAGCTTTTTAACCCGCACCTCCTACTGGTTAAAGCACGTTATTGCACGTTTAGAGTTATTGCAATGCAGGTAGATTGTGTTGCTTTTTAATGACTGTTTTAAAATGCCTTTTTCTTAACCTGTTTCACGCCTTCCCCCCGGTACCGGGCGGATAAACGCGTCATTTGCAGGAAACAACGTCTAAGGAATCTTAATATTGAATAAAACTATGAATGTGTTATATCCATGTAACGGGAAGAAACTCAGCTAACTGATCTTTTTAATTTTTTTTTTCAAAAAAAACCCACAATGCTAGCACTCAGCCTCTGAATTAGCCTCGACGAAAAAACGTAACCTACAAAGGCACATAAACTCACTCAGAACTCCCTTATTACTTATCCTAGATGCACAACCAAACACTCTTTTTTGGTGTCCTGGAGACACTGAATCTAACGGTGCCCACCTCAACACTCAGTGATAAACATTCGCGACGCTATCAACGAAAGCGTACATCATCACATGTGGAGCCAAGAAGCTAAACATGTAAATATGGCTTACCTTGGTCAAAAGTGGTCTTCAATGGCATTAAAACGATAAAAAAACGA